GAAGGTAACTGGCATCGACATACCTGTTTATACCTGACAACCGAGTAGTTTGTCCGGGTAAATAATAGGCAACCCAACGGCTGCACATTCTATACGTTTCATACTTTAAGTCAGGGTAAAAATTTTCTTATTATCTTGATGTTGCAAAAATAAAAATAAAATAAAAAATAATTAAAAATTGTCTGTCCAGACTTTTTTTAGGCAACCCATTTTCAACATATTTTCTAACATACTAAATTTGTTATAAAATATGATTCATTCTATTATCAGCTCGGTGAAGATCGTTTTTAGTTCGGATCTCCTACTAACAGTAGTTTTACTACTCTCCGCCTTCGCATCGGACGCGCCAATCCAGGCCGCCGCACAAAAGTAAGACAGAGAGCATTTCATTGATTGAATAATGAATTGAATTGCATTTGTTTTATTTGCAATTTGTCATCCGCATCGTGATCGCGACAGCGCTATAGGAAAAAGTAAGACAGCGATAATTACATGTCTATGAATGAATTTTTACTACGCCGCTACCGCAAGCGATTATGGCATTATGGGTGACAGAGCGGGTCTTTCCGCGAGTGTACCTACAGAAGAGAGCTTACGTAACCTAACGTCATTCAGTCAGTTAGTAATTTTTGAGTTAAACAAGTTTGGTATGCTTATGCTTCTTGTATTTTGGAACCTCCTTTTTTTGATGGTAGACAAACAAAAAAAATATACCTACATTATTAACGAAAGTTTTCTCAGAAAATGCAAATGTTTCATACGGATCCTCGACATTTAACGAAGAAGGGGATCAATAGCAAAATTGTAAGTAATTAAAAGATCTAAAACTTTTGCGAAATGTGCGAAAAATTTAAATTTTGTAAAAAACATTCTGTATAAATAACAATTTCGTTTGAATGTTGTACCCATCTGTAGTTTTTAATTTGTTTCAGAGCGCACGCAGAAATTTTATTTTAACGCATATATTTTACCAATATTACCCATAACACAAGCCTTATAGTGCTTACTTTGGGGCTAGGCTAATTGGTGTGTGTTGGAAATATTTATTTATTTTATTTATTTATTACGAAATAATCTAGAATAGTATTGTCTCTGCTCAGGGCCGCAATCGACAGACGCCCCTTAGTCCTTGAGCTCTAGGCTCTTCCTTTATTAGTCTGTGGGTAAATCAGGCGCTGCCAGTAAGGAAGGCGTCTAAATAAATAAATAAATAAATATTTCCAACACTCACACCAATTAACCTAGTCCCAAAGTAAGCACTGTAAGGCTTGTGTTATGGGATACTAGGGTAACGGATAGAATACATATACTGATACATATATAAGTATATTTATATAGAAATACATATTAAACATCCATGACTGGAGTACAAATGCTCGTATTCATCACACAAAACATCTGCCCCCACCGGGATTCGAACCCGGGACCTCTCGAGTCGGCGACACCATGAAACCCGGCGTACAAACCACTCGACCACGGAGGTCGTCTAAAGTAGGTACGTACTTACAGCGAGTCTGTAGCAGACCGATAAGCAAAGACTTCTAAGGCTACTCAAGTGATCACTTATGCTCATTTGATTTATGGGCGGGTGGCGCATCCTAGAGTATCTTGCGAGTTTTGCCTTCATTTGGCTGTATGTTTGGCTCTAAGCTCTTTAGTAGAAAGGTAACCTATACCTACTTACAACCTAAAATTCACTGTTTTTTTAGCTGGCTTTTTACATGTCGTATGAATTAACTTCTTCCCACTGGCACCGATGCCAAACTTTAAAATATGAAGTTAGGTCTTTTCTGTTCTCCTACCCCGTGGAGTTCTGGTTATCCTATTCAGACAATCAAAACATAATAATTTCCAGTTATAACTTTTATTATTTTAAAGCATGTAACTGCTTGATGTTTAAATCTGAAGATAATATAACTAGAAAAAGCGGACTAGGCAGCAGACGGGACTCGAACACGGACCCTTCGCAATCCGGGCGAATGCACTGACCAATTATGCTACCGCGGCCCTCACGGATCGCGTCGAAATTCTTCTAGCCATTCTTAAGCTGCAAAGCAGCGCCATCTCTTCGCATTATAGGTAACCCACAATGTCAAATGAATACTTTTACAAGTATTAAACATTTTTATAATAATTTCCATTTTCTCCTGCATTTTCTTTAATGATGGAGGATGATTTTAACATTTAAATTTAAAAGTAAAACCCACTCCCCTTTATTGATAAACAAAGAATTTGATAAACAAAGAAAAAGAAGGACTCGTTACTCCAATATGTTTCGTCTCTCTTCATTAAATGTCATTCAAGGCATTTGAGTGACATGAACGTAACACGGCGTTACTAGTCTAAGCTAATTATTCCTTGTTTATGAATATAGGACTAAGAGACCCTAACATCTAACATAATAATATGTGGTGAAGTATTAAGTCATTTATGCAGACGAGTCGACCTAGATAAAACACGCTCTCACAAGAGGCTGCTTTAAGTTAGAAATAAGTTTTAGAGCAACGTCGCAACTACCGGGCCTCTACTTATACATTTATAGACAGTCGCTCGAGCTTGTATCTCTTTACTAGACGGTGAAACACGAGTAAAGGTCAGACTTGGGATATGAAGGCATCAGCGCTTACGACCTTAAATGAGCTTCACAATTTTTGTGTTGGTCTGCAAAGGGAAGAAAATTACAAAATTCACCAGGTGATTTTCTTGCCGGATTAAAGCTTGGGTAATAGGGGTGATGATAACTGCCTTTTTTCTTTGTCTAATCAGGTAGATTTATAAAAAAAGTATTGGACATGTATTATTTCTTTATTTACATAATCAAAACATTACGGAGGGATCTATTGATTTGAAATGTCGCAAAACGCAAAAGTAAAAAAAAAAATATTTTATTTATTCATCTCGTCTTGGTGCATTTTTTAACTTAGAAGTAACGTCAAGTGCCCCCCTTCCCAAAGCTTTGACGCGCTTCATCTTTCCCATTTTTTTTTCATTTATATTGATAAAAGAAAAAATAAGTGACCATTATTTTTTTATGTAATTAATGGACTAGTTAGAAATTCCTTTAATGTACCACGTCATCACCCCTATTTCCGAAAACCTGTTGTAAGCCAAGGACCGACCACCTTATAATTAATATTGTTACTAACTACAGCCAATGCTAAAGTTACTGAGGGTTAATAAGTTAAGTTTTGATGGTTTACCAATCTCGCTAGCATTTAAGTGGCGTGAATCGATTTAGGTAATTTATAATTATAGTTCATGGCATGGGACTTAAACTTCTTTGACTTTTATACCATCTCAAACTCTATCAGCAAAAATTGAAACTTTGTCTATAATTCCTGATCGATGTTGAAAATACAATTCCTTTATACAGTGTTTTCTTGGAATGGGTTTACAATAGCATCTTTTTCTTTATATCAATATATCTTTAAATATGTATATTATTAAAATCTCGTAGCTACATGCATAAATAATTTCGTATTAATATTATATCAGTTAATACGAATTTTGAGTCTGAATTCATTGTACCTGATTTTGATTTCTTATACCTTATTAATGTAACAAACAATATTTTTATTTAATAAAGTTGGCTTTTGATGCATCAGAATGAAATTAAAAATTTCATAGAAAACTGCTAATTTTTTTCTTCGAGTTGTATATGTGTAACAAGAAAATAAACATTTATTTATTAATTTAAATCGCTTTTATTTGCTTAAGACATGAAAACGAAGTCTAGGAATACGAAAAATTTAAGCCTTAGTTTTAAATACTGATATTTATAGCATTTCTTGTTATTATAAGTCTGAAAATTCACGGAGAAATGTCTTCAGAATTTTGCCGTAGAGCCTAAGTAAATTATAATAAACCCATTGTTTATACAACGGAGATATTAACATAAGCAAAGGGTCCATATTTCGTTTCCTGACACTCTGAATGTGCTTCTGGTAGTGAAGTAAACAAAAATAACATGGAAATTTTGTATATCCTCATGTGCCGCCCATATTTTATCCTGACTGCGAATAGGAAGTTAAAATTAAGCTTCATTTGCTTAATAAAGTGTATTACTTCTAGGAAAACAATTTTTGTGGATTCGCACTTTGATTAGCGGGTTCAACCAAAAATACGGTGTATTCGGTACAACGGGTCCTAAAGTACGCAACAAATTTTTCACTATCAGTTAAATACATTTTCATAGAAGATTTATAATGAAATGAAGAAATTCATTGTGTATTACAAGCCTGAGAACAAAAACTATAGTCTACCTACTCTACAGCTATACACCGAAGCGAAGCAAGGGCGGGCAACTAGTCCTTGTATAAAGTACAAAAACAAACTTTAAAAAAATGTTTCTGGTTATTTGTCAATGTAAACAATCAGATAGTATTCATGAAATAACAGACTATTAACAAAAATCATTTTGTTGGCTTGTGTTAATAATATGCCTCGGCTGTCTCTCTCAGAGCGTGTATCTTGGATGGAAATAGGGTATGATATGAAATTTTAATAGAATGTGACCTCGTTCTAGTTTTAAACTATTACCTAAGTATACTACTATGGTACGAAACCTAACGTTTATGTGTCTGACTTGGACTTGATGGGTTTTTATGGGTTCGTTTGAATATTATAACGGCAACGTACTGCCCTTTGGGCAGAATATTATTCGTTTAATTCACTTCCTAAAACTTAACACAAGATTCATTTCCTATATGAATCTTTCGCAAATTAACATTTAGCATTATATTGACTTGATTAATTTATTATTTGGAATTATTTTACTTTGTCATATTTATACATATTTTAATTCAATTCAATTCAATTAAAATTATTTATTTCAGAACTAGGTTCCATAGTGCTAGTTACATTTGATTTACTTATAAATATGTTAGTATAATAAAGAATTACATAAAATATTACTTTTGGATATAGACATGGAATATTATACGTATAAAAAATTCAATTAACACTTTCAATTAATAGAGTGAACCCGAAATTTATTTTAGGTTACAATAGAACTGCGGTCCGAACAGCGGCTGAGCACAGCGAGCGTGCCGGCGAAGCGTCAGAAACGAACTTTTTTTGGCAAGAGTAAGTTATGCCAAACGATACATTTAACTAAATAATACTTGGTGAAATGAAACATTACCAAGTAGGTCATTATTTGTTAAACCTATTTTTTTTAAATCTCTTATTTAAACGGTGCCCGAACTTAGTAACCCTATTACGACAAGATTTGTAAAAATACGCATTAATCAAAGTAAAATGTAAATACAGTTTTACGACCTAGTTGATCTCTCTTATTCATTTTGAATACAGAGTACTCATGAAGAACAAAAGACGTAGTATACTTAATATTAATATATGTATGTCTTCCTACGTTACTATCAAAATATTGGATTAGTACAGTCACATATCAAGTTCGGTAGACTGAACATAATAGTGGAAGATTATTATTGATTTCAAAATCGCGCACCCCTGCCCTAGTTTTAGGGTGTTCACTTAGCACTGCGGCCTTTATACACAAACTGTGGCCAAACAACAGATTACTAGGAAACATTAGGCCTGTTTGTGAGTAAGCAATTTTTTGATACTGCTTTTCCAACATAAAAATAAATTTCAGTTCAGAATAAATGAAGGTTTTGTTTTAGTATTTACGAGAATTTTATATTAACTATAATGACATACTCGTACTGAAAGTACATATAAACATCCAAGACATCTAACAAAATGCACGTGTTTATCACACAAATATTTTGCCACCTCTGGGATTCGAACACGGGACCGCGGAGGATCACTTAACGGTGGGCTAAGTGATCTTTCATTATTTACACAGAGTAAAGAAACGTACTGTGGTCTTTTTAATAAAGTTTGAAGAAAACCCAAAGTACCATTCATTGCGAAGTACAAATTGATTTTTATGAAGTTATAAATCTGACTGACTACTACTTACTACTTTTTATAGCGAAAATAAAACTTAAAGAGGTTTTAATAAGGGATGCAAAATCGTTTATTCTGCGTACCCGAGCATAGAGTCGGAGAGAGTACAACAGTCCATAAATAAATTTTCATATTATATCCCTTAATAGGCCTACAAGAGAAAAACAGCAGCTAGAGAGCAATTGCATGTTTCTTAACCCTCAGTGTCCTAAATACATAAGTATGGACAAACAAGCTCGTATAGACTAAATGGAATTGTTATGCAAGTTGGAGTTAAACTTGTTTCACAAGTAGGTAACTGCGTATCTGAGATAACGCTCTACTTTGTGACTCGAGATGGTTCATTTATACCAGAATATATAGGTAGTTCGATTCGAGAGTATGTTGTAAGTGTAGGAGTGTTTAATTCTTTCAATTAGACAAAAAAAAGCTTCCTTTTTAGACGTTAACAGTTTTTTAATAAGGTTTAAAATCACCAATATCCTAGTGAGTATGACATCAAAACAAAAACAAGTGACTTACAAAATTCTGCATTCAAATATTAATCGAACATATATTGCTTACACGCTACAAGCATATTAGTGAAGCGTATCTCTCTTCCACATCTAGTACCCAGTTACGATTAATAAATCATCGTTGATCGATGTTAGGTGGATACACGGGCCTTTCGCGTGTTCAACCGGCGGGTTTAGGTTCAACTATGAATCGTTTATAACGGTTAACCCCGTCCCCATTCTGTTAAGTAGGTAAAAGATAGATCAAATCCAAAACTGCCAGATTGACTTTTTGGCGGGATCGGGAAGCGTCAGTTTTGCAGTTTTGTTTTTCTTGTTATAAATTGTGTTGTGGCGGATGTTAGTGTCTAATAATGCTGGATTATTAACCACTAAGTGTTCGGGAACATGCACAAGTGCTGGCAAGTGAAACAAAATAGCGGAAAGTGTCTTTCGACGTTCCCTCAATAAGTCCACGGGGAGGTTCCAGTAAATCTCCACACATTTACTGAAACATAGGGAAAGGGGGATTGACTTGACTGCCACTTACTTTGACCACGAGTGCTATAGAATTTGTAAACATTTTAACACTTGACATTGGCTAAATGCAAAACCGTACGAAGCCATTTAGAAAAAAACTGGCAGATTTCGTGAGGTGCGTTTGAAAATCAGCAATACTATATTCTGTAAGAACAAACTTACTTTCACGGCCCTTCAACTCTGAATTCGCGGTGTGATTTTAAATTGGAACACGAATTGCACTTATAATATAAAGCCGAAAGTTTGTGAGTGTGTATGTTTGTTACTTCTTCACGTCTAAACGGCTGGAGCGATTTTAATAAAATTTGGTATGGAGTTAGCTGACATCCTGGATTAACATATGGGCTAAGATTTATGAGGGAAAATATCCCTAATAAACCGCGGGTTAGGCCGCTGAGGCTGAGGAGCTCGATGGCGCAGGTGGTTAGCGCGTTCCGCTGCGATGGTTGAATTTAAGCAACTTTCGCAGTGGTCGGTCATTGGATGGGTGACCAAAAATATTCTATCTCGAGTTCCTCCGTGCTTCGGAAGGCACGTTAAGCCGTTGGTCCCGGCTGCATCTGTAGTCGTTAGCACCCGCCAATCCGCACTGGGCCCGCGTGGTGGTTCATGGCCCAATCTCCCTATTCCATCCATAGGGAAGGCCTGTGCCCCAGCAGTGGGGACATTAATAAGCTGATGATGAAGGCCGCGGGGCATAGCTAGTTTGAAATAAGTTACAAATGACACCGACGAATTCTGCTGTAAAAGAATAAGTTTGTTGTTACAGAATAGCAGTGCTGCTGCTCCGCAATCCCTAAGTCAGTTCTTCATCTTCTACTGACTTTGAATTTTACTATGCTTTTAAGATATACAAATTATTGGAAAATTTAAAGAGATTCTGGTAACTTAATGTGGTTGCGTGTACAGATATTTTTTGGTGTATTGGTTTTTCAAAGACTGCAGATGTACTAATAAAAAACCGGGAGATGTGTGGCGGAATTATGGAAAAAAAAACAAGCGCACGACATTACATTCTCCCTATTGTCTCCTTATAAGGCCCTTTATTTTGTTCACACAATGAAGAAATTTACATAACTATTCTTTTTTTTACTAACGATCGCCCGCGACTTCGTCCGAGCTAACTTTGGTTTTTAGGAATCCCACAGCAAACTAAATTTTTATCCGGGATAAAAAGTATTATTTTTCCCAATCCAGGTCATAAACTATAAACACACATAAACATACGAATTTTCATTTATAATATGATTAAGACGATCATTGTATTGCACTAAGTATGCAGTTTCAATTTAATCTGACATTTTGAAGTTAAAGGTGAAAATCAATGTTCAAAGATTTCGTTAAACTCGGGTTAATGAACAATCCTATATATATCCTATCCTACTATTAATGGAAATGAATGCTACTTTTTATTAATTCCATTGCATTGAGGAGCTCGATGGCGCGGTAGTTAGCGCCTTTGGCTACGATCGTTGAAGTTAAGCAACTTTCGCAGTAGTCGCTCATTGGATAGATGACCAAAAATCTTCTATCTTGAGTTCCTCCGTGCTTCGGAAAGCGCGTTAAGCCGTTGGTAACAGCTGCATCTGCAGTCGTTAGCACCCGCCGATCAGCACTGGGCTCGCGTGGTGGGTCATGATCCAATCTCCCTATTCCATCCAGAGACAAGGTCATGATGATGATTAAATCCATTAGTATGCTAATTTTCATGTCGTATCATGCTACATACTATTGTTATGCTATTTGCTAAAATTATTTTTAATTTGATTATTAACAGCTGTGACTTGCGAAATACTAATGTTTCGTCATTACGACAACATAAAATAATATTACAATTTTTTTGCAATTTAGCCTATTCCGGTCCACACCAGAAGTAAAAATAAAATACATTTGTTTTTTTTTTCATTAAATGATCTTCATATTTTATCCAGGCTAAGAAATTTCAAACCGGGAGGGGAGAGAGGGACGGGAAGAACTATGCTTCCCCTCCCAGGAACAGCAGCCCCCCTCTTGTAGTTTTGTCCTGTAAAGCCCCCCTTTGCTGGACAGGGCGGAGGGCTGCTTGGACGGGTACGCCCAAGAAGCCCTCCGCAGCGGACAGGGGGTGGTACGGTGGGCACTAGTCCGCGTACTCAGCTCCCATGCGTGGGCCATCCTGCGCACGTCTGCGGGGTCCCCGCAATACGTCGGGAGACCCCAGCCGTGAAGCCCCGGCGAGGCCGGGAAGCTGCTGGGTGCGGAGTCGTGGTAGAATCCATAAACGGGGACCCCGTGACTTCGCATTAAGCAGTGTAGAAGGTATTCGCAGTACTTTTTTAGCGGATATTATGCCGTAAAGCGCCCGTAAGAGTTGCGGGGGCCAGGTGTGAGGTCCGTTCGGCGGTGTGCCTCTTAAAGGCGCCGTCGTCTGCAAACAGCATTTTTACCTGCGGTATAAAAAAAGTATTTTTCGCGTGATAGCAGGCTAGAATGTGAACGCCGATGATTGCCGGGATCGATGCTATAAATTAGTAAAAAAATAATTTCAGCATCTACGCTTAATTTAATTATTGCTAAAAGTTCCTTAACAATTAATAAATAATTACCAATGCTAATTATCAATACTAATTTCTACCCTATTAACACCTCTACCAACAACACCACATTTTGGTTGGGTTTATATATTTACTAGCGGCCCGCCCTCGCTTCGCTTCGGTGTAGAGTTGAAGTGTAGACTACAGTTTTTGTTCTCAGGATTGTATTATACACAATGACATTCATCTATGATTCTTCTTATACCTGCATGCAAAGTCTCAGCCCGATCGGTTTAAAATTAACAAAGTTTCATACAAACTTTCATTCCCTATTTTATCCCCTTGGGGGTAGAATTGATCAAAGTCCTTTCTTAGCGGATGCCTACGTCATAACATCTACCTGCATGCCAAATTTCAGCTCGATCCGTCCAGTGGTTTGGGCTGTGCGTTGATAGATCACTATGTCAGTCAGTCACCTTTGAGTTTTATATATATAGATATAGATATTTTGGCTTGATACAACCAATGAGAGGTTGCTGTTGCTAGTGCTACCAATAGCCTACTTTTCGAACATTCTTCAGTTGAGAAAGTTTATAAGTTGATAATTTTTTACTAAACGATAAAAACGTAAACCCGGAATTTTTCCGTAAAACTATATTATATATTTTTGTATATTTCAATTCAAGAAAGGTAGAGCATAACGGATTTCCTGCTAGAATTGGAGCGCTCGTCTCGGGAAGTAACATTCACCTTACGAAGGAAGATCACAGTCAAATAACACTACCTTTTGGTAGTGTTGTGTTTCTGTCGGTGAGTAAGGTTCCAGGGCTCCACGTGGTAGGGGATTGGGTCAGGGTAGGCAACGGTGCGAGTAATATTAATGGTACTGCAAGCATCTTAGACTATGGTGGCGCTTACCATCACGGGATTATATGCTTGTTTGCCACACTTTTCACATACAAAACTTACCAAAGTTCGCTTTTGACATTGCGGGTTACCTACAATGCGAAGAGATGGCGCTGCCTGGCAGCTTAAGAAAGGCTAGAAACAATTCGACACGGCCATCAGGGTCGCGGTAGCATAATTGGACAGTGCATTCGCCCGGATTGCGAAGGGTGCCCACACCCTTCTAGTCCCGTCTGCTGCCTGGTCCGCGTGGTTTTTTTTCTACTAATATTTTCTTCAGATTTAAATATCGAGGAGATACATGCTTAAAAAATTAAAATTATAATTACCAAGTTCGCTTTTGGATAACATTAAATTTACCCTTGTTAGTCTTCAATATTATCATATTTTACGTCTGAAATCTGAAACCATAAATTGTTGTAACCCATCTCTCTACAATATTGTTCTGTAATCTGTAGGGAAATTAATAATTCAGGAGGCTCTATAACGTACACAAGTTTTATGAGTGCAATATCCGCTTGAAACGAGAAATATGTTGCTACAATGTTGCTGGCTTTATATTTATGACGATCTTTGATTACACGAAACACTGATACTGTTTAATATTTTTCATAATAAAAGCTAAGTTTGAGTGTTTACAGTATACGTTTTAGGTAAAGCACCCCTAGCACGAACTAATATCGAATTCATATCGTTTGCGAGTACGATCTGTCATTGTCAAA